GAGAGAGAAAGGTAGGTAGAAGAAGGAGAGTAATGGGGGGAGAAGTAGTGAGGAAGAAGCAAAGTGAAGGAGAGAGGAGGTCGGAGGTGAGGAAAGTGAGGAAGAGAGGATGGGGGAGGGGGAGAGGGGGAGGGGGAGGGGAAAATGTGGTATATGCAGTGCGGGCGGCAAACTGCGCTACTGCTAAAGTAATAGCAGCAGCGCGCTTCTGGCACACGCGCTACTACTAAGCGGGGCCCGCCAAGTGGCCTGTTTCAAAATTAGCGGTAGCGTGACCCATAAAAAGGCGCGCTACTACTATTACCTTATCAGTAGCGCGGTTATCTCGAGCACGCTACTGCTAAACCTAGGGTGGCGGAAACTGTCCGTGGATTTTAGTAGCAGTGTGGTTTCAACGGGCCGCGCTACTGCTAACTGGATAGCAGTAGCGCCTCTTTTTCTCCAGCACTACTGATAATTAGCAGTAGCGCCTGTTTTTGTACCGCGCTGCTGCTAAGATTCTATGTATAAGGTTTTCCCTAATAGTGATAGGATTTCAAGAGCCAACTCAAAAGATAGGTTCCAGAGGGAGTGACTGATCGCATTACAGTAAGTCTTTGAAGCAAAAAAGATGGACGGACCCCAAACAAATCTGCAATTATCATAGCCAAATAAAGAATTTATTCAAAACCATGCATGATAATATACCAAAAGATAGAATGGGAGTACAAGAGATGCCATGACAGTTTTATTATTATTATAATCCTTGAGAGTACAATTAATGTCGCATCAACATATTTTCTCCCGGATAAAAACAAACATTATATTACTGAGAAATATCATGTGGTGCTACCAACGCAGTGTTCAGTTTAACCAGCATGGCCAATTCATTGTTTTCATTGACCAAAGCCCCCACGGCAGGCATATCAACTAGCTCAGAGCCGCACTCGTTGATAGAATCATATGCCATATCCACACAACTGACAAGCTCACCAGACTGTAGCTTGTCCTCATCGCCTTGGTAATCCCTGATCATGGCATCACATATCTTCAGGACGCTCAACACAGTGTCATAATCCACCTCACACAAGCTGAGGACGCGCATTGGCACCGTGCCTTTCCTGGTGTTTTCCAACATTTTCTTGACCGTGCTGCCGGTAGTAGTGACTCGACCCCTAAGGATGTCATCAGCGACTAGCAGCAGTTCACGGAGGTCCATAGCCTTAGTGCTTCGATTGTCTGACTTGAGGGTTGTTAAGCAGAATTCCTCTGTGACAGGATCAACATGGGGGTTGTTGAACGAGGCGTTCTTGCATGCTCTTACCATGAGGTCGGTCGCCTTGGGCTTGCCACCACCAGAGTCATCGGCTTGAGCCATCATGGTCATAGAAAGGAGCATGAAGACAATGGCGGAACAGATGATGGTGGCCATCGGTGTTGGTGTCATAAATTGTTGCAATACTTGCCAGAAGCCTTGAGTTTTACTGCAACCTAGAGAGGTGGGGATAAATGGATATAGAAGATTGTGTAGGGGAAGTTTGATGGATATGACTTATGGGAGGTTGAGATATATTTATACTGCGTAAGGTGGGGTTTCATAAATGCATTATACAACTTGGTCATGGATATGCCTATGATTAGTGTCCCAATCTATGCACAGATATGTTACTGCTGATTTTGATCTCCTTTATTAATGATGTTTATTTTGCACATCTAGCTTCCATAGGTTCATTAATGCAACACATCTTGATCACGGATATCCAAATTATTAGTGTCTAGTGAATGCACACAAATATGTTGATACTCAGTTTGGATTGTGAAAGTATTTTGGAAGCGTAGAACCCTTTGTCTCGAGCCGCATTGTATATATTGGGAAAAAGCCTTAGTACACAAGTTACAGAGAGAGATCGAGAGAGATCAACCAAAGGGGTCGTTACAGAGAGATACGGGAGAAGAGGAGATAAAATTTAGGTAGAAGTTAAAAAACCTCTCCTAACCTTATACATCTCCTATACAGTTATTCTAACACTCCCCCTCAATCTAAATCTCAAGAAGCTTTGCCAAGGTTGAGATTGTATTTGAACTCGTCTAATCTTCTCTCAGTAAGAGGTTTAGTAAAACCATCCGCAAGTTGATCCCCTGTGGGGATAAACCGAATTTCAAACAGCTTTCGAGCTACTCTCTCTCTCTCTCTCTCTCTGACAAAATGAAAATCAACCTCAATATGTTTCGTCCGTGCATGAAAAACGGGATTTGCTGAGAGATAAGTTGCACCAATATTTTCACACCATAATCTTGCAGCCTGTGGAGCTTTAATTCCAAGCTCATAAAGTAATGCTTGTATCCACATCACTTCAGCTGTAGCATTTGCCAAAGATTTATATTCAACCTCTGTACTTGACCATGAGACAGTAGCTTGCTTTCTTGCGCTCCATGACACAAGATTTGATCCCAGAAACACAGCAAAACCACCAGTAGATCTCCTATCATCAGCACACCCTGCCCAGTCTGCATCAGAATATGCAGTAACAAGCAAGGAAGAAGACTTGACAATCTGAAGTCCAAGCCCTTGAGAATACTGGAGATACCTTAGAATTCTTTTAACTTCTGTCCAATGAGTAGTTGTAGGAGCTTGCAAATATTGACATACCATGTTCACTGAACAAGAGATATGAGGACATGTAAGTGTCAGATACTGTAAAGCACCTACAATGGTCCTGTAATTTGTTGCATCCTCTGGGCCAAGAACTTCTCCACTGTCAAATGTAAGTTTTTCTAATGTAGAGATTGTGTGCTTATTGGTTTGCAATTCTCCAATCCCACCCTCTTTAGAACATCAACTGTATATTTCTCTTATGAAATAAATATGCCATCTTTGATTTGCTTTACCTCTATGCCAAGAAAATAGTGCAGATCACCTAGATCCTTGAGAGCAAATTCAAGTTTTAAATCCTTAAGAAAACAAACAGTGGCCTCTTGACTTGAACTAGCAACAATTATATCAGCAACATAAACAATCACAAAAATAGTGATATTGCCTTTGCTATAAAAGAACAAGGATGTATCTGCCTTGGATGATGTAAACCCAAGATGTTGTAGTTGCATGCTCAACCTAGAATACCATGCTCTTGTAGCCTTATTTAGACCATATAAGGCTTTATCCAACTTACATACATAATGTGGTGTGCTGTGATTTTCATAACCTGGTGGTTGCCGCATGAACACTTCTTCCCCAAGAACACCACGAAGAAACACGTTCTGAACATCTAGCTGTCTTAAGCTCCAACCTATGGAAATAGCAATGGACAAAACAAGACGAATAGTAGTTGCTTTAACAATAGGGCTAAAGTTATCATCATAGTCAATTCCAAACCTTTGCCTAAAACCCTTTGCAACCAACCTTGCCTTGTACCTGTCTATAGTTCCATCAGATTTTCTTTTAATCTTGTATACCCATTTACAATCAATCACGTTAGCACCATGTTGTGGTGGTACTATATGCCAAGTTTGATTTTTTATAAGTGCATTATATTCATTATCCATGGCTTCCTTCCAATCCTTGTTAGCGAGAGCATCATGCAGATTAATAGGTTCACCAGTAGTGGCAAGAAAAGAACGCTTAGTTGGATTATACTTTACTCTACCATCACTGTATTGTTTTTCCTTGACAATACCTGACCGAGACCTTGTGTGTCGACGAAGAGGTGAAGAAGACATAGGAACAACTGCAGTTGATTGTGGCGCAGAGGATCCTGTTGTTGCAACGTTGCCCACCGAAGATCTAGGCTGATGTGGCTCCTGATCCGAGGAAGATTGGGGCTGCTCCACATCCGACGTGCACCCACGATCGACTGGCGAGTCGGAACCAACTGGTGGGTCCCGCGTTGTCGTGACACGGTCGGCTGCTAGGCCCCCTGGCGACATGGCACCCGTGAACTCGCTCCCCCTCCCCCCCCCCGGCGCCTCGTCCGATGGGCATCTCGGGGCGTGCGACCGCCCGTTGATGTGACACGCCTGGACTGGTGAGGTCCACTTGGTCTGCGGCGCTGCCGGCCACCGGGGTGTGCGGCAGTGGCGAATCAGCACGGGATAGCGTGCTGCCCAGCGATGCAGTCTGCCACGCGATCCGTCTGGGATCGCGCGCTCTCAGCCGAATCAGCACCGGAGGCCGTGCCTTTTTGTCTGTTGTGCACATAAAATTGTAGGAGATATGCCCTAGAGGCAATAATAAATGATATTATCTCTGAGTTCATAATTATGTTTATGTTCCATGCAATAACTGCAATGATTCTCGAGTCTGCAATATCCACGAGGCTCGGAGGAAGACTCATATGCACGTGTGGAATAATAAATGGTAAGAAGTATTCCTAGTTTGGCCTCTAAGGCTAGCTAAAGTGTTGCATGATGGTTCCATTTTCCTGATCATGGGCATGTCTATGCCAGCAACTTTGAGGGCACAATGTTAAGAGAACATTTCTGTTGAATCGACCTTGTTTGATGTTATGCTATGAGATTCATTCGTCACAAGTTAACGATAAATAACACAGAGATGGTTAACATTTGCATGATTCCTTAGACCATGAGATTATCGAGTTTCTTCATGCTTGCTTCATGAACTTTGGGGTTTGTTAAACGTCATCCGTAAATAGGTGGCTATTACGGCGGCTTACGGGTTCATGGAAAAGTGTGTCAAGTAACTTGATAGCTCAAGATTGGGATTTGCTCCTCCGACGATGGAGAGATATTCTCGGGCCCTCTCGTTGTTATGGTATCCATCATCGTCTGTCCAGACACAGTGTGATTTGATCACTGGGATGCCGGAACACGGAAACGAGAAAAGAGAACAAAACAAGTAACGAGGTAACTAGCATAGTGGACAAGTTGTTGATCCACGGGGATGCAAGTAAATCTCACCTCGGGTCTTTGTAACATATCGCGAAGCAACAGTAATAGCACATGGCAACTGGAGGTTCACTCGAATATTCATTCATGTGGGTATAGGGGTCAATACGGGTGTCCACAGCTCCGATGTTGATCATTGATCGAAAGGGGTTCCGGGTCATGTCTATACTTCACCAAACCTATAGGGTCACACGCTTAAGGGTCATCTATCTGCTGAATACTAGATAGGGAGTCTGAGAGAAAATCACCAAAAAAAGTTTCGGACACCGGAATGATTTCGGACAGCGGAATCGTACCGCAGAGAGAGGTCATTGGATAAGTTACGATGATATCGAAAATTTGTTTTGGGATATACCATTAAGTCAAATTGGTTTCGGCACATGCCTGATAATTCTTGGAGGGTGCCAGAATCATTCTGGAAGCTTTTTGGAACTTTCTGAGATAAAAACCGGAAATGTTCTGGAGCTGCCAGAGCCACTTCAGATGCGTTTCGCAGATGAAAATCACTAAAATGGAATTGTTCCACAACGCGTTGAAAATTATTATGGTGGGTATTGAAAATGTTCTAAGCCCACATAAATATTTTCAGTTCAAACGGACGCTGAAAAATGTCATCGTGAATAGTGAAAGTGCTTTTTGGGATATTTTATGGAAAGCCACCTTTTGGGGCTTTACTCAAAAGATCTACGGATGACATGGATGGATTGGGAGGCCCTCATGGGGGCCCCCAAGGGGTGTGACCGGCCACACTTGGGGCTCCACCTTGGAGCCCCTCTTGTTCCTTGGTTTCACTCTTATGCCCTTGAGGAAGGACTTCATTCATGTGCATTTTGGGTTTTTGTGTTAAACTACCCTACCCCTTGGGATTTTCTATAAATAGAGGTGGAGGGGCAGCCCTCCACACTCACTCTTTCTCACATACAAGCGCCATGAATGATCTGGCTTCTCTCTCCCTCCGAGCGAAACAGTTTCATAGAGCCAAAAGGTTGTCTGGGTTCCGGCAGGAACTAGTTCTGGACGGCGAAGCCCTGCCGGATAGATGACACCGTATGTGTGCAACTCTATAGAGAGATTGTAGTTTCGGTCTTAGTTCGTGAGTGCCTCCCGAAGGGCTGTCCGTGTGACCGTCCGAGTTTCGAAGGTCCTCCCGAAGGGCTGTCTGAGTGACTGTTCGAGTTTCGAAGGTCCCCCCGAAGGGCTGTCCGCGACACCGTCCAAGGGGCTGTTCGGCCGTCTCCCGGAGGGCTGTCTGAGAAGAAAATGAGGGTATACATCCTCACGGTTGGGAGGTTGTAAATCCTAGCTGCGGGGATCTGCATCGCCGTTCGTCATCGACTCTACTTCCCACCGCGCTATGAGTCGGTAACGAAATAGATCAAACCATGTATGCAGTATCCATAGTGGTCCTGGGCTGGTGCGTAGGTCGGAATTTTTTTGTTTTCTGCTGCGTTCCCCTTCAGTGGCATCAAGAGCCGTGCTATGCGTAGATGCATGTTATGATCTAGAATACATGGAGATGTCTGGGTATTCCATAATATAATTTTG